GTGGGGGGGGGGGGGGGGGGGGGGGAGAGATGTAGACCTAGTATCCCACTTTCTTAGTTAAGCATACTTTTTTTTTTTTAGTTGACCAATTGTCTGGGTTGATATGTTATAATAGCAGTAGATATGATACTCTCTGGTTATTATTATTATTATTATCATTGTTGTTCTTGTTATAAGTGCAGACACAAAAACTGCATCTCCAGAAAAACATATATAATTCCAACCAAATTAATATGGTATAACATTCAAGTAATGTAAGAATGGTTAGCTGATGAAAGAAGAGTGGTAGACCAATATGAAAGTAAATGCTGCTGCTGCTGCTGATGATTACAAATTTATTAGCTGCCCAATTCCATGGACTCTGGGTGGCATACAAAACTGAAAAACCCGTAGAAGCAGATAAAACATCAAACCACACAGACAGCCCAGTCTAAAACAATCCTATAAACAACACAAGTCAAACAAAACAGCGGCCCCAGAAATAAAGTACTACATTAATACATCAACCCCAGGCCTGGGACCAAAGCCAGGTTTCCAGAGCTTTCCGGAACCCCAGGAGAGAGGGTGCTGTCCATATCTCTGGAGGGATGCTGTTTCAGAGGGTGGGGGCTGCAACAGAGAAGGCATGCTTCCTCAGTCCCACAAGATGACAACATTTAAAAGAAGGGACCTGGAGCGTGCCCATTCTGCTGGAACATACCACATACCAGATGGGCAGAAACAATTGGAGACAAGGGGCCCCTCAGATATCCAGCCCTGTGCCAGTGCAACTCGTGTAGCAGTGGTAACACATGGGTACATTGAAAGGCCTCTGTTATGGCTCACACCACTGCATTTTGAACCAGCTGTAGCTTCCAGGTGGTCTTCAAGGGCAGCCCCATGTAGAGCACATTGCAATAATCCAATCGTGAGGTGACCAGAGCATGAGTAACTGTCTGAAGCATCTCCTAATTGAGGAAAGGGTACAACTGGTGCACAAGATGAATCTGTGCAAAGGCCCTCCTGACCTCAGCTGCTACCTGCTCTTCGAGCAGTGGCTGTGAGTCCAGAAGGACCCCCAAGTTGGGAACCAGTCTTGAATGGGGAAGTGCGGCCCTATCCAAGACCAAAGACTGTGGGGGGACAAATAGCCACAGCTACTCAGTCTTATCAATATTGAGCCAAAGTCTGTTCTGCCCCATCTAGACCCAAACAGCCTCCAGACACCAGGTCAATTTATCAACAGCTTCCCCTATGCAGCTCAGGTTGAGATATATACTGATGATACCAAATCCTGAACTGGCAGAAGATCTCACCTAGTAGTTTCATGTAGATGTTAAATAGGAGGGGGGAGAGAGTTGAGCCCTGAAGCATCCCACACGCAAGGGGCCATGGATGCAATCTTCAACACTGACTGGAACTGACTGCTGAGGAAGAGTGTGAACCACTGGAGCGCAGTGCCTCCCACGCCTAACCCCCACAGTCAGTCCAAAAGGATACTGTGGTTGACAGTATCAAAAGCTGCCAAGTGATCAAGGAACATTAAGATGGATGCACCCCATCCCAGCTCCACCAAAGGTCATCAGCAAGCGTGACCAGCACTGTCCCCATACTGTCCCCTGGTCTGAAACCAGACTGAAAGAGGTCTAGATAATCTGTTTCCTCCCAGATCCTATGTAGCTGTTGTCCAACCATCTTTTCCACAACCTTCCCCAAAAAGGGAAGATAGGAAATTGGCAGAAAATTATCCAACGGGGAAGGGTCCAGCAATGACCTCTTGAAGAGGGGGTATACCACTTCCTCCTTCAAGGTTGGTGGGATGACCCCCTCTCTCAGAGACTAAATCTACCACATGGACCCACCCTCTAGTCACCTCCCAGGCTGCCTTAATAACCCAGGAGGGGCCAGTGTCTAACAAAAAGGTGGCTGAACTAACACACAGAAGGAACTTGCCCACTTCCTCAGATGTGACAGAATCAAACGCAGTCCAGATAACATCACAAGGCTCTGCCCCGGGCAATTCACTTGGATTTGCCCAGTCGAAGTCCAACTCTGAGCAAATCTGAGTGACTTTGTCTGCCAGATAGCACGAATGTACCTCACTACAGTCCTGCGGATGATCCTGTGGCCCTGCCCCACCAACAATAAGGGTCCCCAATAGGGTCACCCTAAAAAGGGCTGCTGGGTGGCTATCGTCAGGCACAATAAGGGCAGAGAAATAGCAACATTTTGCTGCCCTTATCGCCATGACATAGGCCAGAATATGGGGTCTTACGTTCAGTCAGATTCACACTTTGTCTTTCTTCAGTAGTACTCCAGGCATTGCTCTGGCATTTCATCTCCCAGAGCTCTTCAGAAAATCAAGAAGCCCTCCAGGATCAGCACACAGGGAGAGGCCACGTAGGAACGATCCAATCAATAAGGGCCTCAGTCACATGCCTCTTCCAGGCTGTAGCCAAGGCCTCAGCCAAACTGCCTGACAGGTCCTCAGGAAAACCTCCAAGCTCCCTCTGGAACTCAACAGGGTTCATCAGTCACCTGGGGCAGGCCAACCTCGAATTCTCCAAATGTTAACCAAGTTTCTGTCTTTTTCTCCATCACCACTACAAAAGAGTTTTGTAAGTTGTCTAGAACCATTAGGGGAATCAGTGGCATATAAATCTTCTAAATAAATAAATGCCTCAGGCGCCACCATTATTCTCTACATAAAGCCCATCAAAGTTTCCAAGATGAAGGAGAGGTTGCGGTTTAGAGTCTCCACTATTTATGAAGAAGTTTTATTCTCTGACCTTCCAAAGTAAAACTGAAAAAAACTCTAAAACCCTGGATAGCTGCTCCTGTCAGTGTGGGCACTACTGAGTCTGATAGACAAGGCTCTGATTTGATATAAAACAGCTTCCCATGTTATTATTATAGAAAATGGGCTTTTTTCCTTGATTAATCAGGTGAAGTTGTCAAATTTATGACAAGGATGGTTATTCCAAAAAATAAAAAAAAATCTAACAGCTCACATCCACAAAACAAGAGCATATGAGAGAGAAAGACAGAGAGAGAGAGAGAGAGAGAGAGAGAGAGAGAGAGAGAGAG